CATTATGAATGTAAATACTATACATGGTAATGCAGCAGGGCATAGTGCGATGAGGCAGGCAGGCAGAACCAGATTTATTTCTAAATATTTGTCGATCAATATTAGGCTACACTAATATAAGGCTACTAGTATTATGATATTACTGCAATAATATTCCAGTGGCGGCTGCTTAAGGTTGTTTCTGGCTCGTTTGATCCAAACATTGTCCAAAGCTCAAAATGTATTGTAATAGATGTAAGAATTCTCAAAATGTACAATATGTTTTGATCCAACACAATATTCTGATTCAATCCATATATGTTAGGGGTTTTTTTTTCACCAAAATAAATAGACTGCCTTCTCTCCAGCTCACCGCACACAAAGGGGGGGGGGGGGGGGGGGGGGGGGGGCATCTGTATTAACGGGTCAGTCTATAAGCACTCTAATAGCACCATAAATTACATTTAAATAACCACAAAAAGACAATTATTGTTTCCGATATTGATTTAACGAGATGCTGTTATAACATGGAAACGGCTTAATTTAAAAAAATAAGCTTCAAAAATGTTTTATGAAGCACACTGGGTACAGCCCTGTAATACATGTGTTCCGTGTGTATATAGTCTTACGCAAGAAACACATAGCATGAACAGACTGCAACAAAACCAGTCTTACAAAACAGCCTTCTGCTAAACTGGTGCAGAAGCAAAGCATCTACCTTAGATGAAGTTCACACAGAACTGTGGAAAAGGGAGAACATCTGTACTTGCTTTCAACGACATGATCAGGCTTATATATTATAAAAGTGTTGGCTAAAGTAACGCAGAATATATATATTTTTTAATTGTAAATAATTAAGTACACACACATAACAAGCTGTACCGAGTTCCTCCGGCTGCAGTTCCGCAGACGGCCGGTGTGTGGCAGCATAGCGCTGGGAGCAGAGGGAGGTGAGTATATGACGGATATGACGGATGACGGATGCGACGGAAATACACCCGAACATATTTGGTAGGCCGAACATATCTGGTACTGACACCGGGATGCGGTGGTTTGTTGATATATGTCGTCTTCTTCTGTTTGCTTTAATCGAGGCTGCGTAGTTATGCAGCGCCCCCATCGTCAGTAAATGGAAGTACTACAAAGAACCCCTTTTAGTGCAGTTATTTCACAAGTTTTGTTATACACAGCTCGGAAAATATTACCGAGGTCCGGACCTCGGTGACCTCAATGGTGGATACGGCCATGTGTGACACAAGTGACGGTACGCATTTCAGATTGTTGCCTGGCATTCGTACCTGCGTACCAGTTATGTGCACCCCTGCATATACAGTAGAAAGGACCAGTGGCGTTTCTATATGTACACAAGTGGTGGGGCACACAAAATGTAGATGTCTAAGCTTCTGCAGTGAGGTTCATGGCTGGTGAGGCTCTGACTCTTCAGGTTTACAAATATTATATTTTGACCTAAATCAAAATATAATATTATTTTCAAAAGCTTTTTTTTTCTGATGCTTCAATTAATTTTAAACAGACAGTTCAACAGAAGGATACCCAAAAAATGTAATTGTATCATTTAAATATTGAATTGTTCTCTCTTAGTAAGATCCCATTTTCAATAAAATTGCAGTCTTACCTTGACTTGAAGATGAAGTCCATTTGCCTATCCTTCTGGACAAAAATATCTATTACTTTTTTGTAAAAGTCCTCCTTATGTTCTTGTAGTTTCAAAAGTCTATCATAAATCTAATCTAATCAATAGATTTATGATTCGAAAATTATAAAAGTAGGGTAGACATGTGGATATTATCCGGCTGAACAAAACGTGCATTTATCTAACAGCTACGTTTCCCACAGATCTTATTTTGAGCTATTTTCTAAAATCCTATGGAGAAATATCATTGCTTTTTTGTGGAGGGAAGCCATGCGCAGCTTACTTCCTGGTTTTAGGACGCGTCTCTCTCCTCCTCTTCACACACCACACTTTTCGCGGCACACGTACTTACAGCCAATCAGCTCTGAATGATGTGAGATGACGTATGGTGGGGATGGCAGCTCTATGCCCCTATGGTCATTATTTTTTGCCACACACATTAAATAGGAAAATACTCTGAGCATGCGCAGTGTAGTTTTTACAGTCACCATTGACTTAAACAGGGAGAGGGAGGGGCAGGATCGGGTTTTGTCCCACATGGCTCTAAACAGCTCAATAGGCACACACTGTAGACACTAATTAGAAGAACACAGACTAAAACAGCAATGAGACGAATCAGATGATTAAACATGATCTTAAAATATATTTGATATATATTTTAATTTATTTTTTGCATTTTGTTGTAATCATTATTTTAATACTATATGCTGACACTAGGTGGGGCTGTGCCCCACCTGCCCCTAATGACCAGTCGCCACTGGAAAGGACACAATGAATATTATAACATTTAATGTAGCCTTACTCTGAAGGCTAACCTAAATACGGTGCTTTTCTACAGATTACTTTATTACTGCACTGGTAAGGTAAAATTAGGCCGATTAATAAGATGTGAAGTGCTTTGTAACTTTGACCCGCTTGACTGAATACACAACACACAATGAAGAAAGAGTTTTATCTGGGCTGTTTCGCTGCCAGCTGCTCCCCCGGGACCCGAAAGTGGCGTAGGCTATATATAGCCTGTACTTCAACATCAACGAAAGTGCTCGATATATGGTATATTGAACCAATAAACTAACACAAACTAACTGTATCACTATAACATGATGATGATGATGATGATGATGATGGTGAAGTAAGAATGCATCTAACGTTCCGCTGTTCATTATAATAAAAAAACAGCACATTAAACAACCATCATGCTCTTACTTTGAAATCATGCGGAAATGTCCTCATCAGCGGCCATCACGTGGTTTCCGAAAATAACCGAGTGACACGAGTAGATTTTAGCGAGACCGGCGGAAAGTATGTCTCAAAATTCTGTGTGTGTAAAAAGACGATCCACAAGCAGAAATGTGAGATTCGCGAGCAGAGATTTGAGATCTGCAAGCGCATTTTTGGTCAACAAATACAAAATGGATTCACAAATGCCTGATCGAAAGTTGTAAATGTTAAAGAGATATTCAGATCTTTTTTTTATTTGTGAAAAATATTTAGCGTATTTGCAGATCCGTTTTACACTTGCACATTTATTTGTGAGTTTGCAAATCTTTTAAATGCATTTGTGGTGTTTTACAAATCACATATTTACACACAAATTATTTTTATGTTCACACAAATAATTATGAGACATATCTATGCCCATAAGTCCCTCTCTCACTTTGTTTTGTTCAGTGCAATAATTGAGCTGGAGCTTGTTGTCCTGCCAGGAGTTTAGATCTGGGCTGAAATGGTGTCAGGGCCATTCTCATACACATGCAGGTGCTCATTGGTTAGCCTCGGTTAGCTCATTGGTTAGCCTCGGTTAGCTCATTGGTTAGCCTCGGTTAGCTCATTGGTTAGCCTCGGTTAGCTCATTGGTTAGCCTCGGTTAGCTCATTGGTTAGCCTCGGTTAGCTAATGGATAGCCTCGGTTAGCTAATGGATAGCCTCGGTTAGCTCATTGGTTAGCCTCAGTTAGCTCATTGGTTAGCCTCGGTTAGCTCATTGGTTAGCCTCTGTTAGCGATGCCATGATCTTAGGGCAGGAATACCGTGAACATAGTTAACGTGACAGAGGAATAAATACACACATACACCATTATACGGTGGCCCTGAGAGCAGGGGCGGCGCCAGGGGGGAGCTAGGGGGTGCTGAAGCACCCCCCAGGATTGCCAAAGCACCCCCTAAGCACCCCCAAGAAATATGTGTTTTTAAAAAAAAAAAATTATTATTATTTTCATTAAATTAAATTAGAAATATTATTGATTACATCAATGCATATGTGAAACAAACACATTTTTGACCAAAAACATAAAGCCAACACAGGTGATATGATTAGGCCAATGGCCAGCACCCATTCGATTTTTGACCTACCCATAGGCTAAATTACTTTGTGACACTTGAGTGACTTCCTGTTAGCTAGAGCGCCAAATGATTTGCTAACAGCAAAGTGAAAAATTGATTGATCGTTTGTTAGTCCTTAAACGTCCACGTGTGGACACTCAATCAAAACCAACTGAAAGCGAGAGGGATTCTGCACATAATAGGTTTCGTGAGTACAAGTAGCTTACTTCTGGGTCTCTGTGTTTCATTCAAGCCCTGCTCTGTGTGTGTGTGTGTGTGTGTGTGGCACGAGCCATTTTGTGTGCGTGCGTGCGCGAGAGAGCTCGCCTCGCGCACCAGTGGGTATCTACCGGAGATCGTTGTGGTTAGCATCTGGTGCTAGCTAGCCAAGCTAATGGATATAAGGAGCTTTTTCAACAACAAGGTGGAGAGAGAACTCTCTCCTGTCAGACGGAGAGTCTCAGGTAACCTCAACTCAGGTGAAGTAAAGGACTCTCTCAGTGTTTAGATAGTTAACTTTAGTCTAGTTATCTCAGTGGGTCTCAAACGGTTTGATTTAAAAGGAGAGTGATTTGTAAAATGTCTATAAAGAAATAGAAAATCTGTTTACAGTTCTGTTTCATATGGGTGATGAGAGATGTATCCATAGATCTCTTAATGTTGCTCTCAAAGTGCACCAGATTGATGCTTTTAACTTCAATATTTAACAAAAAATCTTCCCGGGGGAGCTAGCCCCGGACCCCCCTAGAGGAGGTGAGGACCCTCCTAGAGGAGGTGAGGTCCGCTCCCCACTTGTAAAAATAGCACTTTACCCCTGCCTATATGCCGTGAGCTGATTATCGAGCCTTCATTGTAACAGTCGCGGGTGCACTGTGTGTGTGTGCGTGGGGAGTGTTGCAGTAGATAATTCAACTGTAGCGCTGGTGCATTAATGGGAAACCCTAAATGTTTAAGCACCCTCTATGAAACGTCAAGCTACCCCACAGCACCCCCTAGAGAAAATCTCTGGCGCCGCCACTGCCTGAGAGGCCAGGGTGCTGCAAATAAAAGAACGCTGCAAATTAAAAAAACGCTGCAAATAAAAAGAAACAGAAACGCCGTGCAAATAAAAACGCCGCGATGCAAATAAAAAAGCCACAACGGAAGTGAATTACCGGGGACTATTATTGCTGATGCACATGCGGTTTTTTATGCGAGAGAAGAAGAAGTCTGGGGGATCTCCAGGAAACATCTCTTGGGTAAGTTTATAATGTTAAAGTTACACAGGATGTAGATAATATCTGTCGCTGCCGTATTTATAACTTTAAATGACGTTATTTTGTGTGTGGGAGCAGATTATGTGTGTAGTGTATAATGTTAGTAGAACATAGCTTTGATCAAAACTGCAGAAAGCTATTTTGAAGTTGTTTACTTGTCTGTGAAAACTGATTCTGATTCTGCTCGATTTATCCGTGCAGCTTGAACCGTTTTAAATCTAGACTACCCCACACACACACACACACACACACACACACACACACACACACACACACACACACACACACACACACACACACACACACACACACACACACACACACACACACACACACACACACACACACACACACACAGTATTATTGCATGTTTAACTGCCTGAGGCTTGTCTTGCCCTTGTCAGTGGGGAATGTCGTGATTAAGACACACTTGCAATCCATGTTGGGATATTCCTTGTATTAAGCCAGCGTTGAAAGTAGTACTGATTAGTCTTTCCAAATGTGTTCGTGTTATTTACAAACTAGTGCAGTGCCCGTTCGGGGCATGGCCGTTCAGAGCTTGTGCCCGTACTAAGCGGACCGATTGTTTGGCTCCCATAATTGCTGCTTGCAATGTTGTCCGGGGGGCGTACCCGATCGGAGCGCGTAGATTCGTCAAAAATAAAGGTTTAGAAAAATTAATCCCAAAAAATTCTAAATGAAGGATGCACATCATCGTGCAATCCGCAAGCCATATACGAAAGTTTAGATCGATCTGACAAACAGTCAGAGAGATATGAGAGACACACACACAGACATTTCTTGCTTTATAGATAGATAGATAGATGTTCATGCAATTGAAGCGCAAAGCAACCTAATGATACTTTATTTGTTTTGTTGCAGGTCATAATGTATTGTCCTTTTTGTGGACAGCAGCAGGCTTCTAAATCAGCCTTTGCTGTTCATGTGGCAAGGACATCAAATTCCTGTGTGATGTTGATAAAACAGGCACAAGTGGAGGTCATTTTAAAAAAAAAAATTTTTTTTATTAGGCTTAGGCAATGTACACTCTATATCTTATGAGTATGGGTGAGAACACTGTATGTCTCTCTGTTCTTTGTCATTGACGATTGATTGGACTCTTATTTCAAGCAGAGGCTACAGGAAAAAGCACACTGGAGTTATTTCGGACTTTCCGGAGTGTAAAAGAGAATGAGAGACAAGCAGGTTTTAAGAAAAAAAAAAACACCATCAAAAGACAACCTGAAGGTTGTGAAGGTACATTTTTTTGCTGAGATATACTAATAATTTGCCGACAGTCCATTCTGTCATGTATTTATAGTGTCACTGAACTAGTTAACAGTCGCCTATTTCATTGTTTCTCTGTAGATTTCAGTAGGCCTTATGAGGCTGAAAGATGGTGTACTGAAGACTGTAAGAGGAACAGTACTTCCCCTTTTGATGCGACCAGAGTCGGATGCGGACGAATTGCAGAGAGCTGCTGAGCAAAAAATGAAGACCTTCGACAGAAATTTACATGGCGGTCCCTACGTACTGCTCTACCCTGACGGTACAAAGATAACTACTATACCAGGAACAGAAGTACCCTTCACTCTAAACGAGTACAAAGAAGTAGTGGGGAAGGCCTACCAACGTATCACACTGTACATTTGTACAGCTGAAGATTTCTTTACATCTTGTAAGTAATTGTGAAATGAATTACCAACCAAGAAGAGCTTTTTTAATTGATTTGTTTGTCAAGGAAAGCACTCTGTTGTTCTGAGTAGTCTAAAATCCTCTTATACCTGTTCTTGTATTTCACAGCTCAGGAAACCAGCTCTGAATCCAACTCATCGGATTCAGAGGTGATCATCATGAGTCCAACTTCTGCAGAATTCAATGCAGATTATACATTAGTGAGTACTACATTTGTTGTATCTTAGATCGCTTATATTATAAATTATATCTGGAAGTGAAAATGTTTCTAGATTTCACATAGAAGGCATATTTTTACGATGAAACATGTCCCAAAATAGCATTTTAAATTGCGGTAAATGTTGCAGCGTCCTGGCCTACACATATTTTACAAACTTAAGAAAACAACTTTATTTAGTGCAGATCCCTGCAAAATCACACCATAATAATTTGTATGTTTTTCACTGAAAGTGATGATGTAAGAAGGATCATTCCCCCTGTCGCAAATCACATACACTATCAGTCAGAATAATATAATTCAATATTTATGTTCAAATGTGTTAAGTTCTGTCAAATTTGAAGTGTCACACTGATATATTGTTTTTTACTTCCAGGTATGGGAACTTGCAGATGGAGAGTCAGGCACTGATTCAGCAGCTCCGGTAATTGTGGCTCCTAAACATTGTCTATTGTTCACATTCAGCCTTGTCTGAAAATATTGTCACACAATTAATGTCTTAAACTACATGAAATAATGTGTCACACTGACCCAGAGATCCACGTTTGTGTACATTAGAATAGTCTTTTCTTTCTAAATCAGCCCTCTGATAGCCATGATTTAAAATACTTCAACTTACCTGTCACAAACCATGGTTTGTGATTCAGGTCTTATTTTCTGACTCACAAGAGGGCCCAGGAACATCAGGAGGTGTGCTGGAAACTGCGTGCTATAGGTATCATACTTTCCTTTCTACAATTCAAGTATGTTTTATATGAAAACATCAACAATGTAAACTTGTGTATGTCAATTTCTCAGCAAATATACTCAGCTGTATGCGCCCATTGTAATAGAGGATAAGGATGACTCAGACAGTGTTGAGTGCAGTCATGACATTCCAGAGGATACAAAGTAAGAGAAAAGTTACCCTTACTTCAACTGTGGTTGTTATTTTTCCTGATCAAAAATGTGTGCTATGGTGTACCATTTAACATGGTCATAATTTATCTGATGACAGGGTGGACCAGCAATCACTTTCTGAGATAACTGCAAACCTGGCCCTAGAGATTGACCATCGAGCTGTCAGCAGATTTAACATCTGTCGCTCGAACATCTGGGATGGAGCAGTCAGAGGATTCAAAAGGGCAACATTCTCAGAAAAGAAAGACATCCTGATGAAATTCTCTGACGATTAAGGGAGGTTTGAGGAAGGTCTCGATACAGGTGGCCCCAAGAGAGAATTCCTCTCCCTTCTCATGAAAGAGCTGAACAAACGGCCCATATTTGATGGACCTGTGGAGAGCCGCTACCTGGTCTACAATTCAACAGGTTCTGTTTTGTGTATAATATTTTAAAAGAACCCATATTTCAATCTTGCAGTGTTTTCAAATATGGAAACTGATTTAATATTTCTTTATTCTGCATTATCTTGGACAGCTATCAGAGAGGATGAGTATTATTTAGCAGGGAAGATGATTGCTGTGTCCATTGTGCATGGTGGACCTGGTCCTAATTTTCTGTCAGAGGATCTGGTCAGCTACATCTCAGGGCAGAGCAGTTTCAAGGCATCTGTCGGAGACATTACAGATGAGGAGATAGGGAAAGTCCTACAAGAGGTATGAGAAGGGTGTGAAATTCTAGAATAGGTAAAGAGAGAGTTTTGTCCACTTAAACCATTCTTTCAAGATATACTTCTGGCATTACCATTTTTTATAATTACGTGTCATATTTGAAATGTGTGGGACTCTGTTATCTCTTCTTTTAGATTCAGAATTCACCCTCAGTGGAGATCCTTCAGGACTTGATGATACGGAACAGTGCCATGTTGCAGACTGCTGGGTGCTTCAGACATGTCAGGTCATGTGAAGAAAAAAAAATGATTGTAGAGGATTACCTGAAGTGGTACATAATCCACAGGAACAACACTGCAATCGAAAGGTAGGTTTTTGTATTTCATTGTTATTGCTAAAATAATTATGAAAAACGTGTTGCTGTTGTCCCATTTTCTTGCTTACATGATGCACATGTATCTTTGCATGCATCTTTTAATTGTATTTTAGATTCAAGGCTGGACTTGAAAGTTTGCAGTTTCTGACAGCTCTGCAGCAGCATCCGACGGTTCTGACCCCTGCTCTCTGTCATGCCGATGTGAAGCTGTCTGCTGCAGAGATGGAAAATCTGTTCCAGCCTGAATTTAGTCAACAGGGAAGCAACAGAAGGGCTCAGGAAGAGAAAGCTATGAGTTACTGGGCAGACTATCTTCTCGATTGTGAAGGTTAGTCAATTTGCTCTTGTCTGATTTTTATACACACAGATTATAAAAAGTTCCGGTGTTGATGTAGATAGTATTTACTGTCAATTGATTCCAATGTTCTCTACTTTTTAGAAAATGACAGCTCAGTGACCTTGGAGGAGGTGTTAATGTTCGCTACAGGTGTGCCATGTGTGCCTCCTGCTGGTATGAGTCCTCTGCCACGCCTTCAATTCCTATGTTCTACAACGTCAACATTCCCAATGGCAAATACCTGTGCCAACATTTTAAAGCTTCCTCTTTTGGACACTTATGGTGCCTTCAAAGCCAACATGAACTTTGGCATTAATAATTCCCCCGGCTTTGGGTGCCTTTAAACAATTAAATAACTTGTGGTAAAAGTTAATGTTGCCACACACAGTCCGTTGTTTTAATGTTGCGGTCTGTCCGACCAAAATGTTGTGACGTAAGAGAGATGAGTATTTTTCATGGCAGATTTGTCCTATTTCATATCTAACATGTGAACAACACCACACATTTGTATTGTATTGTTATTGTATTCTCGTTAGGTAAGGTAGACCGTGGTTAAATCAAGAGTTCAGAACATGTGTTAAGATGTTTTACAAATATTTACATAAACAGTAAATAAAGACTGCAAAAGGCACCTTATCGTGCAAATGTGCCAATTTTGTTTTGGCCATTTGATCATGTTTTTACATGGACTTTGTGAAAGAGTAAAGCTGAATGACTCTTCATTAAATGGTTTAAAAGTGTTTCATTTTAACGTAAGGACTTGTTTTCTACGTATAGCATATATGTTACACACTCGCTACAAAGATGACACGGCTGTAGCTGGTTCACAAGATTGTATTCTCAGATCCACTGTGAAAACAGAAATAACAGTAGCATATGTGACTGATGCAATGAATGTTATTGTTGATTCATCAATTTGTTATGGGCTGTGTCTGAAATCACTCACTACTCACTATATAGAATTCCCTATAGTGTGAATGAGTGATTTCGGACACGCCTTGGTCTTTAAAATGTCAGAAAGTGAAGCCTCACAGAGAACAAATTAATCCAGCAAATATTCACATTTTAGAGGCTGGAACCTGCTTATATTCAAAACAAAATTAAAATCAATTACCAAAATATTAGGTGTATAATTTTCTGACAATCGACCATTCAACTGATAACACGGATGTAACACTAAACATGTTTTACAAAATACATGAATATTCTGTATGTTTATTTAAACAAAGAAAGGTTTCAGTCTAATGACTTATGCAAAGATACAAGCTGAATATTTCACTGGACTTATCTACTCAGAATTGCAGCATTCTAAATAATATTCAACCTACATTGGAAACTTGTACACACAAAAAAGGTTCTGGGGGGCTGGTGGGGCAATGTATTCTACACTCCAGATATGTTTTTCATGGAAATGTAATTCTGAACAGCAGCTGTCCAGTTCACTGGTGGAGCCAACCCACTCCGTCTTTGCAAGTCCACAAAATGCATCTCCAGATTCTCATCACCACACAAATTGTACTGGGATGATGCTTGCATGATGCCATCAAAGTGGTGTAGGGCTTCCCAGGACACTGGAAATCCACACTCCCTTCCGCCAAACCTAAGACCAGTCATAAATTGAAACATAATGAGTCAAGTGATTACAAATGGATCATTTAACCCCCCCAAACATGCTAGATAAGCATTATAACTAAAACTCCATTGAGTCAGTTCTTCGTTAATGAAATCCTAAACAAAGAGCTTTGACTTGAGAAGTTAATCTCAGGTTGACAGCAGCTCTTTCAGTCAAATATGGTCATTCTACTCACTTTCTAACACAAGGTACTTTTTGGAATTGAGTAAGATAAATCGACAGAATAGCTTTGGACATTTTCTGATTTAGGTTGTGTTGGAATCCATTTTTAGTCGTTTAAGACTTGAAATCATTTTGAAATAATGAGTTTTCAGACTAAATGAATCACGTTATTTATCAAGTGACAAACTTGTCATATTGGGCTGATACACCAAATTATATGAAGTCAGATATATTTTAAAGTAATATTACCAAACAATTTCAATACAAACCTGTGAGGCAGGTGGTACATGGCATCAGGTTTACCTGATGGACACTGAGACAGGCGAACAGGTCGGATGGTGTGGTTGTTCCACAGCTGTCTGTACTCATCGAGGTCTTTTTGTAAGATGCCCAAAAACACATATCGCAGCAGACACTTGTGCTCATGGCTCCCATTGAAGAGGTGCCTCTCTCTAAGGTCACTGAAGAGCTCGATCCAGAACTGAGTCCTAATGGTGGAATTCAAAACTTTTGTATTTCATGAAAAAAAGACAACTTCAAGTAAAAAGTCACAATATTTTGCTAAAAAGTCACAATATTTCTAGAAATGTTGTACATTTCTTGGTGCGCTCCTACATTATTTCATTTGGGAGCACATAAACTCCCTTGGGAAAATGTTAGTGTACAGCTCTAATGTAATTTCACAATTTTTTCAATTGTTTTCATCCAGATAGATTTAAAGTATTTGGGCACCTCTGTACTATATACACACACACATACATTCTTGGACCTGACCTTAAAAGGCTATACCTTTGCTTTCTGAAGAAAGACCACCAACTCTCGATGCGCTGGTTTGCAGTTGAGGTACCATACATGTGACTGAGGGCTCCTGCAAAATCATCTGTGTGTTGAGATCGTAATGTGCAGTTAATGGCTGCCATAGTGCCGTTTTCAGTTCCACAGTCAGTGCGAAGGCGGGCTGGAAGTAGTCCAAACTCCGATACACACTGCAAGTAATACTGCGCAATGATGCCCGGATCGTTGTTAGTGCTGCCACTCCTGAGCCACATAACTTTCCTTGAAAAGCCGTCGATGCAGCCACTGATGGCAATACCAAAGGGTTTAAGTTTATCATATCCATCAGCGTGCCACACTTGGTTTGGTCCTGCTGTGACGTATCCCCTTCGGACAAACCTTCGCCTGGAACGAAGTTGAACACCAGATGGATCCAGTCTGGAAATCGTCTGTCTAAGATCCTCCCTTTTTACTGTCAGGTGATACTTTTGTTGCAATGTCTGCCACATAGCTCTGTAACCCAACAGCCGACCCGAGCCTCTCAGTTCATGTGCAACAGTTTGGTGTACAGTGCCAATGGGAGTGTAGTCTATCCTTCTTGTTAAGCCAGCGTTCTGCAGCCTCCTCTTTAAGGTCCTCAGACTAAGAACAATGTTGTGTCTTTCTTCTAGAAAATCAAGTATCATTTCATAAGCGTGTCCCTCTGTGAAGTACTTGTGGATGAGGCCTGCCTCGATTCCTTCATTCGATTCTGTGACTGAAGGGAAAAGACAACAGTGTCATTAGGAATGAAACTTAATAAGAACAAAATGAAAATGTATCAGTAATGAGGAAAATACCTGAACTGTTTGATGCATAAGTGTATGTTTTCAGTATGTTCAATGCGTGAACAATTCCAGACATGAGGAGCAAAAAATAAGAGAAATAAACAGGCAAAGGACAAAATATTGGGATACTTACATAATTGGTAAGGATAAAAAATACATATCAATCTAGAGGTAGCGAACAAAAAGGTACCCTTTTAATGCCTGTATTTGTGCATAAACGCATCAGAAGGCTCAACCCTCACATGAAGGAGCACATCATTGGTCAACTTTGGTATTTCACCTGATTTTTTTACTTGTTGGCATTTTTTTTTATCAGTAGTTCTAAATCATGTTGAAATTGCCATGACTGACAATAATATGTGTATAGCATATATTAAAATGGCAACAAATCATATACAAATAAGACATTATCACTGTACTGGTGAAATTCTTGACTTTTAAGGAGGAGCTTACCATCTTCGAGAAAGGGAGCCAAACATTCAATGTTGCTGCCACAGGAGCCGCAACACCTCCCAAAACACCCACCAGTCCCACAATATGGACAATACATTGCCTGTGGAAAAGGAGCAATGTGAATATTATTCATTTGCAATGAAGTAACAGCTACTTGGTAAGCTATTGCAGCAAGTAATGTTACCTGCAAACAGCTGACACTAATTTAACAGCAGATATCAGCTGCAATCACTTAATATCTGAACCATGCATCCATCTACAATGTCAAAATACATTCAAAAAAAAGAAGAAAGATTTAAAGCCAGTAAACTTCCCAAAGGAAGCACGTCTTGGACAGGATAGAGACCCTTCTCTATCTCTAAGCAGGATAAGAGACCATCATTTATCTCTAGACAGGCACATTTAGATAACATGTTGATAGAGTCAAGATTGACTACAGGATTCAATATAGGGCTGGGCAACGATTACAAGTTTTAATCGCGTTTCCTGCGATTAACGCGCTAATAACGCGTTAACTTGCCCAGCCCTAATTCAGTAAAAGTTGTTCCTTCAGAGCATGTTGAGGAGAGGACCCGAGCTCGTCTGTTGAATAAAGGCATATTCAACTTACTTTGTGTGTCTTAGCATCATCTTTAAGTCCCGGTCGGCTCAGATCCGTTTGTTTAGAAAACAGCTAACGTTAGCAGATAAAAGTAGCTATGTTCTACTAACATTATACACTACACACATAATCTGCTCCCACACACACAATAACGTCATTTAAAGTTATAAATACGGCAGCGACAGATATTATCTACATCCTGTGTAACTTTAACATTATAAACTTACCCAAGAGATGTTTCCTGGAGATCCCCCAGACTTCTTCTTCTCTCACATAAACAAACCGCATGTGCATCAGCAATAATAGTCCCCGGTAATTCACTTCCGTTGTGGCTTTTGTATTTGCATCGCGGCGTTTTTATTTGCGCGGCGTTTCTGTTTCTTTTTATTTGCAGCGTTTTTTTAATTTGCAGCGTTCTTTTATTTGCAGCACCCTGGCCTCTCAGGGCCACCGTACCATCAGCTGTGCTTCAAACGGAAGTGACACGTTTTATTGCGCATGTCCCTTTTATCACGGGAATACAGGAAGTGATTAGTATAAGAGTATTAAATAAACAGAATTCATATATTACATTTCATAATTCAACACCCCCACTTACTCTTATACTGCACAATTTCTCAACATGAATTCAAATGTAAACACCTTATACACCTGCACAATAACACAGTGTTTGAAACTTCTGGGGTTATTTACATTCCAAACAAATACTTTACAAATGTCTCACTTTTTACCTTTGTTGCAGGCTTAGTGAAAATATCAGCAACCATATCAGCTGTAGGGCAATAGTCAATGGTTATCATGTTATCACTCAGTACAGTTCGAACAAAATGATACTTGACATCCACATGTTTACATCGTTGACGACATACTGGGTTCTTGGATAGAGCAATTGCACCCTGGTTATCTTCAAAGATTTTTACAGGAGTATATTGACCCTCACTATCCATGCTCTCTATTAGCTGCACAAGATACACACTCTCTTGTGCTGTGGCAGCCAGTGCCATGTACTCTGCCTCACATGTCGACAAAGCTACTGTTTGCTGTTTCTTTGATCTCCAAGAAATAACAGGCCCATTGC